AATAATTTTGGTGATATTCCAGATGTGTGTGAATGGCCCCAAACCCTGAAATATTTAAACCTCTCCAGCACTCAAATTCCTAAACTCACGACTTGCATTCCCACAACACTGGAAGTTTTGGATGTCAGCTCAAACAACCTGAGGGAGTTTGCACTGCACCTGCCATTTCTCAAAGAGCTGTACCTAGCCAAAAACCAGCTGATGACCTTGCCTGGTGCTGCACCTGTTCCTAACTTAGTGGTCTTGTCAATCAGAAGGAACAAGCTCAGCAGTTTCTCCAGGGAAGAGTTTGAGTCCTTCAAGCAAGTGGAGCTGCTGGATGCCAGTGACAACAACTTCATCTGCTCCTGCGAATTTCTCTCCTTCATCCAGCACCAGGCCAGGATAGCCCAGGTGCTGGTGGGGTGGCCAGAGAAGTACGTCTGTGACTCTCCGCTGGCGGTGAGAGGGGCGCAGGTTGGGGCCGTGCACCTCTCCCTGATGGAGTGCCACAGGTCCCTCGTGGTGTCCCTGATCTGCGCCCTGGTGTTTGTGGTCATCCTGGTGCTCGTGGCCCTTGGCTACAAGTACCACGTGGTCTGGTACCTGAGGATGACCTGGGCGTGGCTCCAAGCCAAGCGGAAGCCCAAGCGAGCCCCTGCCAAGGACGTCTGCTACGACGCTTTTGTCTCCTACAGCGAGAACGACTCTGACTGGGTGGAGAACATCATGGTGCGGGAGCTGGAGCAGGCCTGCCCGCCCTTCCGGCTCTGCCTCCACAAGCGGGACTTTGTGCCCGGGAAGTGGATCGTGGACAACATCATCGACTCCATAGAGAAGAGCCACAAAACCCTCTTTGTGCTGTCCGAGCACTTTGTGCAGAGCGAGTGGTGCAAATACGAGCTGGACTTCTCGCACTTCCGCCTCTTTGACGAGAACAACGACGCCGCGATTCTCGTCCTGCTGGAGCCCATCCAGAGCAAGGCCATTCCCAAGCGGTTCTGCAAGCTGCGCAAGATCATGAACACCAAGACCTACCTGGAGTGGCCTCTTGAAGAAGAGCAGCAG